TACATGAACAGACTCACTAGGTGTGTGACAACTGGCAGATCACTTAACTCTTTCGTGTTTCAGTTTCACCAACTGTAAAGTAGGATAATAATAGGAAAACTCTTAGAAAACCTCTCCCAGTTCTGCTTTTGATTCTCTGGACTTTACTATCTGTTCCCTAGGAGGCTTCTCAGGGGCTGAGGCCCCCTCTTCTGATTAGTGAGTTGCTTCCCAGAACTTCTATTGGAGGAAGTACCCATACCACAAATGCTTATTACTTTGCTGGATCTACTCTAAATTCTTTGTACACTGCCATCTTGCCCTCCTCCAATGAGTACTTTTTGGTGTTCAATTTCCTTTTATGTATATTCTTCCTTCATTAAAAATAAGCTCTCTGTTTATTATTTTTGCTTATATTTGTATTTCCAGTGCCTGGCACACAGAAAGTACTGAATAAATGTGCTCTATCTTTATCCATCTACCTATCGAAACCTCAGAGTGTTATATAAATATGGGTTATTATTAGTATGCTCTAGGTGGCCATTTAACTTGCCTACCTTTAGTTCTGGTTCTGGGCGCAAATGTGTCTAAATTTTTGCAAATAATTTATCCCATCTTTCTACCAATGGCTTGTGAGCTATGCATATCTCCATGAAATTTTAGAAGCAACCTTTGTTCCTCTTCCTCTTCCTCCTCCTCCTCCTCTTCCTCTTCCTCCTCCTCCTTCTTCTTCTCCTTGTCCTTGTCCTTGTCCTTCTTCTTCTTCTTCTTCCTCCTCCTCCTCCTCCTCTTCTTCTTCCCCTCTCTTCCTGCTCTTTCTTCTTCCTCTTTTTCTATGACTCTATCATTCCCCCCCCCAGACAAAGATAAACAGTGAGTTGAGGGAGGTTGGCCTTTGAGAGGAGGAGAGAAGTAGGGGAGAAGGAGTCATTTCTTCAGACTGGCATCTTAGACTAACTCACTGCAGCATTAATTGAATATCTGTTCCATAACTACCATTTTTAAGAAGCTTTAATACAAATGAGAGATGCAGAGGCCATGATCCCTGACCTCAAGGAGTCTATAGTAAAGTATGGAAGTTTAACATACACTTCTAAGGGAGTTGACTTGCATGTTCCCTCTAAGGTTCATTGCAGCTCTCAACCTATCATCTGAGAATTAGAGAACAGTTACAAAAAGGAGAAATGAGACTATTACATATTGGATAACTGTATAAAAATCAACCAATCAACAAGCATTTATTGAAGGCCTACTGGGGGCCAGGTACTATGCCAAGCACTGAGGTTACTAAGAAAGGCAAAAAAAAAAATAGTCCCTGCCTTCAAGGAGTTTATATACTAATGGGGGAGATAACATGTGAATAAATAGCTACGCACAAGCTACATTCAGAGTAGAAGGGATCTTAGAGGAGAAGACTCAAGTGAATGAGTTTACTGGGAAAGACCTCCTGCTGAAGGGAGAATTTGAGCTGACTTTGAAAGAGGTCAGACAGAGATTTCAGGAGACATAGGTGAGGGGAAAAGCATTCCAGGCATGGAGGACAATCAAGGCCAAGGCAAGGAGATGAAGGCATGGGGATCTTAAAGGATTACCGATTTAGAGTTGGAAGGGGCCTTTGAGGTAAATGTGGCCCTGCCCCCTCAATTTACAGATGAGGAAACTAAGACCAGAGAAGTGATGAGAGTAGCTCCAGGTCACACCTGTACTAAATAGTAGAGCCAGGGTTCAAGCCCAGCTCACCTGACTTTCCCTCTGTATCACAAAGAGGTAGAATTAGTCACTGAATGTTTTCTGGGAGAAGTAGTTCTGAATTGACTCCTGAAGGAAGTCTTGGGTATGGGTTGGCAGACTGGACAGGGAAAGGCATTCCAGGTGGAAAGGAAATGACTTGAGCCAAAGACAGGATTGACATTAAGTGAGAGGTGGGTTGAGGGCAATAAGGTGACTGACTAGTTTGGAATGCAGGGGCCATGCTGAAAAATAATAAAGGTTAAGGTTCCCTGCTGCTGCAAAGTTGAAATAACTGCTTCAAAAGGACCAGATTTCAATTTACATCCAATATTTACAAGAAAGAAAAGGAAATAAAGAAAAAGAAAGACAGAAAGAAAGAAAGAAAGAAAGAAAGAAAGAAAGAAAGAAAGAAAGAGAAAGAAAGAAAGAAAGAAGAGGGAGAGTGGAAGAAGGTGGAGAGAGGGAAAGAGGAAGGGACGGGAGAATGGGAAGGAGAGAGGGAGAGAAAGAAAGAAGGAAAAAAGAAAGATCAAAAAGGAAGGAATGTACATCAAATATTTACAAGAAAGAAGGGAAGGGAAGGGAAGGGAAGGGAAGGGAAGGGAAGGGAAGGGAAGGGAAGGGAAGGGAAGGGAAGGGAAGGGAAGGGAAGGGAAGGGAAGGGAAGGGAAGGGAAGGGAAGGGAAGGGAAGGGAAGGGAAGGGAAGGGAAGGGAAGGGAAGGGAAGGGAGGGAAGGGAAGGGAAGGAAGGGAAGGGAAGGGAAGGGAAGGGAAGGAAGGGAAGGGAAGGGAAGGGAAGGGAAGGGAAGGGAAGGGAAGGGAAGGGAAGGGAAGGGAAGGGAAGGGAAGGGAAGGGAAGGGAAATAAGTCACTTATAGAAGGCAGCATGCAAAAAAAATATCTAACTAGGGCATCCTGTACAACATTTTGTCTTGGCTTACTCCTGCACTTTCTTCCCTTCACCTTGCTTGCCTCTGTATCTGTTTTCCCTCAGTCTGACTTTGATATTATTCAGTCCTTCTTAGTATTTTTAGATTACTTTTGATGGAAAAGAAACATTTTCTTCCAAATGTTTCACTCTTCCTTTCCCTGCTTCTTATCCTCTTTCACCCCACTCTTGTCAGTATCTTTTTTTTCTTGTCCCTTACACCTATATTTCCTTCTCTCTCCATTTTCCTTTCAATCCACATGTGCCCTGATTCCCTCTCCTTCCTCCTCCCCTCCCTCTGTGTGTACTTCTCCTTCTAGCTTTCAAGTCAGCAGCCAATATCTGGTCCTTCAAAACCCGCCCTACCCAGAGGGCCCCAGACAACACTTTAGAATAATCTTACTGTCAAGAAAACTGGCTGGACTTGTTCCCAGGCAGGGAGGAGCTGCGGTTAGGGATGCACTGGCCAAGAAGCTTCTTGTCTGCCTGAGTAATGGGGTAGGGGAATGGTCAATTCTCAACCATAAGTGTAATGTCAGCAGTTCCATAGGGCAGGTGGGAAACTGTGCTGCTCAGCCTTCTGAATCCATTTCAGCAGGGGGGCAGTGTGACCTTAGTGTCTCTGGCTGCTGATCTTATGGGTACTGAGGGGTCCGAAGAGGAGAAGGACAGAACAACAACAATTAAAAAAGCATCATAGTCTTACAGTCTGGGAAAAAGCAAAAGCCCCAAACGCAGATTCTAACTCCATCTTCTGGCTTCCCTCTTTCTATCCTAATGCAGAAGGAGTAACAGAAGGGAATGCTCAACCTCTCTTTGATCTCTTCCCAGCTCACAAGTGTTTATCTCCCTCCCTCCTTGGTCCCCTACCCCAAAAGCCTTTCTCCTCCCTTCCCTCCCTACCCCCTGCCCTGGAGATGATTCACTCTTTCATTCCCTCCTCCCCACCCCACTGCCATCTGTTTTCCTAATGATGGCATCAGATGAGCTGTTTTGTTGGCCTTCACCATATAACAAAGCACCCTCCATACTAACTAAATTGTATTCCTCATTTACTCCTCTCAGCATGGTTAAAAAAATTGGTGTCTTCCCTTACCCCTCCCTTTTCATCCTCCCCCCATTATTTTCTGTCACCCTACCCCTTCACCTCACCCTCTTTCTTTGGACTCATGTGCATCACAATTTCATCAAAAAATTGGATCGAGTGAAAGAGAGATACAAATGAATAGGGGGATTTGTGGTGTGTGTGTGTGTGTGTGTGTGTGTGTGTGGTGTGTGTATTTGGCACTGGGGGGATTTGGGAGTGGGGGTGCTGGAAGACATGGCAGTCCAACTGCTCAGGCTCCAGAGAGCAAGGGTGAGCCAGGATTACCCAAGTGTTACTGCTAAGTAGCTTAATTATTCCCAGTGAGAGCTTTGGAAGACAAACCTGTTGTGGTTGAGGATGGAATAAGTAAGTATTTGTCACTGTCCAGTTCCAGAGTGGGAAGGTTTCAAGTAGGGTGGAACTCTCCCCCACTTCCCTCACATGTCAATTCTCTTTTATCACTGCCTTCTGAAGAGAGGCGCCCTCTGAAGCCTCATACCTTTTTTTTCCCCAGGGCTACTATGCCTATATTTTTCTTTGTACCCACTCCAGCCCTTATGATTCCCTACCTTATTGGGCCTCTATTGACCCTGCTGACCTAGAAAGTCAACTAGAGAATATGGGCTTGAATAGAATGTGTCTTGAGGCAACAGTGGACCAGTCTAAGCTGAACATAATACAGGTTTTGCAGTTAGAAGTCATTACCTGTAATGACCTTGATCTTATCACTAAACTTCTCTGGTCCTCAGTTCCTTGTCTATAAAATAAGGGGTTTACACTCAATGACATCTAAATTCATTTCCAGTGCTTAATCATCCACTCTCTGACCCTTCTGTGTGATTCCAGCTCTAGCCTCTAAATCATCAAGTCTATTTTCAGATGTAAAAAAAATGCTTATGGAAAAGTTCTTTTTTGTTCAACTCAGATCGTGTATATAAAGGGCTTTTCTAAGCTTAAAACACTATATAAATGTTGGTTATTATTATTATCCATAATTATTCCTTCACTGGGTCAAGACTTGATTACATTTACGAGTGAAAATTCTGCCACAGATACCCTTCAGGTACTCTTAAAGCCCTTAACCAAATTCAAATTCAAGAGATTTTACTCAAAGAAATTGCAACTTCAGAGGACCCATCACCTGATTTGTACAGGTTTCAAAGCTGTAAGAAAGAAGTGAACGAAAGGATCTTCTTCTACTGGACTAAAGAAGTATGGTGCAAATACTCACCCTTACTCTAGGTCAGGACCTAGGAGAAGAATAAACGAGCTTACCTCACATGATTGGATGCAGTGAACCAGGCTGGGATCTGGATGCCACCTTAGCCTCCCAGTACACACTATATTCTGAGAAGAAAAGGGACGGAAACAAAGTATTAGTTCAGGAGAAAGAGAAATTAAGAAGACCCATAGCATCCCTGACCTTAGGGACACTATGAGACTCATAGGTCCCTATTAGTTCAACATACCACTGCTAATTTCCCAGGACATCATCCTATTGGGAGGCAAATACCTGTTAGTAGAATGAAAAAAGAAAAGTCTCTGAATTTGCAGTCCAAGGGACTGGACTGGGATCTTGACTCGGCTTCTTACTTTCTATATGACCTTAGGCAAGTCACTGCTCTCTGGCCTCAGTTTCCTGAATAATGTGACAGGATTGGACAAGATGAACCCCAAACTCACTTCCAGCAATAAATCTATGATCCTACATTCTACCAAAGGGGCCAGAGTGATCTGAGCTTTCCTGAAATCTCCTAGCCTCATAGTATGGCCTTATAGGAAGTAATCAGGCTCTGAGTAAACACGGCTCCCTGGACCTCTGATCCTCATGATGTAAATGACTAAATAAGGAATAGAAGTCCATTGAGCTCTCGCTGTGCTCTTGTCAAAGCTATAAATCTTTCCCTTCCATAAGCCATAAAAGGGGGAACACTCATTGTTTAAGCACCTCATAAACGTAGCCCTTTGAAGCAGCTGGGGATCAGCATGACACCAAAGGAAAGCTGAAGAAGGGGGGTAGTTCACTCCTGCCCAACACCCAGTACTCCCAGATTTCAAAACATCGCTGTTGGATGCCCACGTGACTGTGTTTGCAGTCCTGTGCCCTGAGTGGAATGAAAACTCACTGTTGACATATCTAAGTACTTTTCAATATTGCTGGATTCTAAAGTTCCAGGGAACTCACTGCAGAGAAAACAGCCTGATCCAAAGCAGGAATAAAAGCTCTCTCCCCATCTGGCTACCTTCTCTAAACCCCTCCTCCCCCAGGCACCAGTACTTCAATCTCTAGTATTAGGAAGAAAGGAACAGCCTGGTGAGGTGAGACCTCTTCCTTTAAAAAAAAAGTTTATGCCTTTTAAAGTTGAAGAAATGCACTTTCGAATGCCTACACAGTGCCACAGTCAGACTATTGAGCCACACATTAGATGGCGGTTCAGCCAGGCCAGTGATCAGGATTATCACCAATTAAAACAGGACCTACCAGATTTATTTTATAAGGGGGGCAGGACCATCTCTATTACACGTATCCTAGAATCCAGGCCCCCCCTCACCATGAAATGCCTCCCTTAGACTAAACTCAGTCCTCACAACAAAATCCCAACCATTTAAACCCATTTAATTTAGAATTGTGATTGAAAACAAAGATATGGCTATAGACAATTTGGTGCTGTGAAGAGAAAAAGAAAGACAAAAGGAGTTGTGTCAACTTAGGAAAGTAAACTGCTCTGATCTGCTTTAAGAATCTTTAGATTTGAATTCTAAATCTAAAGATTTAGAATTTAGACTTAGACTCACTTTAGAATCACTCATTTATATACGAACAATTAATGCACATTAGTGATACTTGGCTAATTATTAAAGCGGGTCTATCAAGAGTCCTGCATGGCAACAGCTAGTTTGCTAGTTGTAAATAATGATGACCATTCATATATTTTAACCCGTTCTGTAATTCAGATGGGCATTTTCCCCCAAATATTCTAAATTCTGACAAATACTATATTTATGTGTTCGCATATATGTCCAGTCTCCCCCACAAGACTATAAATACCTTATGGGTCAGGATTGGTTTTCATTCATCACTGTATTCCCCTTCCCACACAGGCTTAACACACTGCTTTCCATCTAGTAAGCATTTAATAATTAGCTAGATAAAGAAATTAAAGGAATGAGATGCTTTATCTTGTTTAACAGTACTTATAGCTGAAGCTGCAAGGTATTCTGAGGAAGAGACAGGAATTAGTATGTGCTGGGGAATCAAATCACCACTAGCAACTTGTCTACAATTTCCCCTCAGATCCTGATAGAGAAAGCCTAGGATCCTGGGCCCAAGAGCCATGGGAATAGCAAGGCCAACAGACCTACTTCTAGCTCAGCACTCATAGCCATCATTGAGGAGAGAAGTCACTGTGAAGCTGGAGCCAATCTCCCTGACCGTCACAAGCAATAGCTGCTGGCCAACTGAAGTTCAGGAACCTTTGGGGTGACTGCATCCTCAGACCACCAGTTCTTCTTACATCGAGGTAACTCTTGTAGATAAGGGGCCAGCTATCCATACCAACTGATAATTTCAACTCGCAGGGCAGGCAAGCCAGTCTAGCTGAAACAGCAAGGGATGCTAAAGAAGAGACAAGAGGCAGCATGCTCCGAGAAGGTTAAACACCCATCACCATCTTGACCATCACCTCTCCTCAAACCCTGAGAAATATCCCAAGAACCTAAACCTAAGAGTATTTGGAATAGCAGCACTTCCAGCCCAATGGCAAATGGTTCAACAAAGGAAACTAATAAGAATTTATCATTGGAGATGACACTAAAGAAGAGGTTTGACCATCTGTTCTGCCTGCACCCTAAGGACCATTGGACTTTTCCATCTGACTTGCAGTCAAAACTACCCATATGTGTTGTCTTCTCTGTTAGAAAGTGAGCTCCTTGAGATCAGGGACTCCCTCACTCTTGCATTTATATGTCCAGTGCTTAGCACATACTAAGTGCTTAATAAATGCTCAATTCATAAATTCATTCATATGAAGGATATATTATCTCCAATCCCCCAGTTGTTTCATTTGTACCTCCTTCTCCATAGTCTTATTTACTGTTGTTTCTCCTTCATTTTCAAAGAGGACTAATGACATCACAAGTGAAATCTTGACTTGCACACGAATTGGATTTAAAAGAGGCAGAATTGCACAAAGTTGTCAGCTGGCTGGCAATGTCTTGGGATGTAGTGGATGACCTTAGCATCTCTGAAGTCTGACAAAGCTCTGAGCACTCCACAGTGCCTGCCTCAGCCCCATTTTTGGAACAAATCATTCTCATCCATCCATCCCACCAGGGGAAAGTCTTCACATACTTGGTGTAGACATCCCCCTAACTTGCCAATGATGGGTTTGAGGCCTGTTGGTTACCCTCAACCTGGTTTAGCCTATCTGCTGGGAGATTCTTCCAGGTGTGGCCACTGGGCATGCTCCAGCTTCTTGGAGGCACAGGTGAGAGTTGGGTGAAGGAGGACACCAAAGGTAGATGAGCAGCCCTGAAAAGGGCTCGTCAAGCCCTCACCCCCTGAACACCTCATACACCCTCCTATAATTGTATGTCCAGAACCGAGCACCAATCAGGCATCAGTCACTGTGATTTGACCACTGTGTTGAATATATTACTCTTTCTACTTCAGCTCCTTGGAGTTTCAATTATTTTCCCTGCATGGGTAAATTCATTTACATAACACCATAGAACTGGCCTTAGAAGAGATTTAGTCCCATCTCCTTTCCATACATAAGGAAACTTGGACCCAGAGAAGTTTAGTGACTTGCCTGGGGCAACATAGGTAGACTGTGGCAGAGCCAGGATCAGAAGCATTGTTCTGTGATTCTTTTTATTACCCAAACTCCTTCCCCCAAGAAGAATTTATCAAAGGCTGCCCATGTGCAAGGCATGGTAAAGAAAAACACAGAAAGTAATTATCTGCTAATTCAGTGCTACTGTCCTATGATTGTTATTGTTACTACCATCATGTCTATACTTAAGTTATTTCAGAGTATAACAAAAAGGTGATTTCAGCCAGAAATTTACAAATCATGTGCCACAGAACCCTAAGGTTTCCATTAAGCACCTCTAGAAGATCTCTAGAGAAAAAACAACACCCCACAAGAAAATAAAACATCAAAATTTGATCCTGCTAGATATTTTTAATTTTTATCAGTTTGACCACTTTTGGATATCACAGTCCATATGGTAATGGAGCTGGGGTTCCAGAACATGTAATCATCCAGTCAATCAATTAACAAACATCTATTAATCACCTACTATATGCCAGGTACTATGTTATATATTGGGTATACAAAGGCAAAAATGAACCTGCCTTCATGAACCTTACAGTGTAGATGACCTCTCTGACCACATATTAGAATGCATACACATACAAATTTCTAGATTTTAAAATCTTGACTAAGCAGGAAGAACTCTACCATTTTTATGGCACACATTAATTATATAACAGTCCCAGAATCAAAGGATCTTAGAGTTAGTCATGATTTTAAAGACTGTGAAATCTAGCAGCATCCCAAACACAGGAACTTGCTCTACAAGACTCTTTCCAAAGGACATGCAATCTCTACCCTTTCCAGTGATGGGGAGTTTGCTACTTCGTGAGGCATTCATTCCATCTTTTAGACAGATCTATTGCTATCCAGGGGCCACTAGGTATTAAAGTGGATAGAATGCTATGCCTGGAGTCAGGAAAACCTGAGTTCAAATTTGACCTCAGACACTGACTAGCTATGTGACACCTGGGCAAGTCACTTAACCCTGTTTACCTCAGTTTCCTTATCTGCAAAATGAGCTGGAGAAGGAAATGGCTTACCACTCCAGTGTCTTTGCGAAGAAAATCCCAATGGGTTCATGAAGAATCAGAAACAAATGAAAAGATTCAACAACAACACTGCTATCCATGGCTGGAAGTTTATCTTGGCTCTAGGCCCTAAGATTTGAGACAGGGCAGACAAGGGCATTAGAATCTAGGTTCATAGATTTAGAAATGGAAGAGAGACCACTGAATGAAACCTCTTTTATTGTATAGATGAGGAAAATGAGGCACAGATGTTAAGAGGCTTATGTCTCTTAAGTCTACCTCAGTTTCCTCATCTGTAAAATGGGGATAACAATGGCACTTACTTCCTCCTGTCCAGGATTGTCACTGGGATAAAATGAGATGTAATGTGTTGTGCAGACCTTTAAGCAGTATACAAATGCTAGCCATTATCATTGGCTATTTTTATATATAAGGGCATACTAAGTAATTTTATATACATTTTAATACAAAGCAATATCAAGAGGGAGAAAATGCCAAC